AGAAAGGAAAAAACTACTAATATGAACAATTAAATCTCTACCGCTTTATATTAAGCAAAATAATGCAGATTTAAAAGACTGCCGTATTTGATGACTCCATTTATTTGACATTCTGGAAAATTCCTATTGCATTTGACAACAAGCAAATCAATGGTTGCCTAGAGCCAGGGGTTAAGGAAAGGGATAAAATGTGAAGAGGCAAAGGGTACTTTCTAGGGAGAGAGAAATTAAGTATATCTTGATAGTTTGGAGGGTATACAACTATACAAAATTACCAAAATTCATCAATCTGTACACTTAAATGAGTGAAATTTATTATTATCCACTTATTATATACAATAAAGCTCAAAAAAAAAAAAAAAAAAAATAAGAATTCTCCATGTCAGGAAGCCTTTATTTATTCCTGTACTGCAAAATCTGGTGCTTTGAAGTAATCTGAGTACTGTCTTCACAATTTTGTGACAGATTTGACATTTCCTTTCCAAAGGACTCATTAAATACTGCATGCCTGTGATTTGTATCGATGTCATTTCAGATTAACAAAATACATTACGGGCCCACCCATGGCCTGGTGGTTAAGGCAGCTGGATCCCACATGGGCTACTGTGCAGCCTGAGTCCTGGACCGGCAGCTTGAAAAACATACTAGGTGTGGATGCATGTGTGCCCCAAATCCCACAAGGAGGGAGAGATGGAGCAGAAGGGATTTTGCAGCATAACCATTCCCCTACAGGGGTCCTTGCTTCCTTTCTTTCTCTCTCTCTCTCTCTCCCCCACCCCCCTCTCTCTCTCTCTTCTCTCTCTGCCAGGTGAACATGCCTCTTGGTGAAAATTTTTAAAATAAATAAATAAATAAAGACATATCCAAAAACTATGCAGTGATTCAGCTTGCTCCTTCGTCATCTTCAGAACGTCATAGCTGGGAGAGGGAAAACTTCTCTTGAAGTTGATGTGCTCACAATATCATCAATTCAACAAGCGTTCATTGAGAGGCTGCTTCCTTGAACTCTGGAACCAGACTGCTGGGTTTAAATGGCAGGTCTACACTATAGGTGTGACCTTAGACTAGTTACTTACTCACTGCGCCTCAGTCTCCCCATCTATAAAGTGGATATAATGGCAATGCCTATCTCAAAGAGTTGCTCCGAGGAGCCTGTGAGCTAATGTATTTGAAGCGCTTAGAACAATGCCTAGCATGTATACAATCATCTTGCCTTTATGTGAAGTGCTGAAACTAAAAGGAGGGACAAGACAGTTTTTGTTGTTCATTTTAAAGTTTATTTCTTCCATGAGAGAGAGGCACAACCTAGCCTCAGCCAGCCAGGATAGTGGGTCCATGCCCATCCAGCATGCCCAACCAAGCCTCCAGATGCAAACCTGGGACCTTTCCATATGGCCCAGCATTGTGGAGAGTTGCGTTCCTGCTTCACCACTCCGGCTGGCCCGTGTTTGTTTTGATGGAAAGACAGAGAACAAACCAATAACGACATGTCAAAAGGGGCACTGAGAGAAATGTGTAAGTACTGTGAGAGCTCTGATGTGTGAGCAATTTATGGTGGCAGCGAGGGGAGCTTGTCAAGGCACCCTACAGAGGATAACTACGCTTTGGAGGAAAAACACGGAGTTCTCCAGGCAGAAAAGAGTACACACAGTGCTTGTGGCCGTGTTCTGAATATCTGGTAAGTGCTGTTACACTCGGTGCTCTGCTCTCTATGCAGGTCATTCCTCTGGTAAGTATTATAATAACACCGTAAGCAGGGCCGTGTTACCCTTCTCACACATGAAGAAACCAAGTATCAGGGATTTTGAATCCCTTGCCCAAGGTCACAAAATTCGTACATGCCTTATACTAGAACCCACACTCAGACTTTCTGACTCTGAAACCTGAGCAGAGAAAACAACACAGCAAAGCATGTGGTGAGTTTGAAAGAAGCAGAGGTCTGTGTGTCTAGAACACAGACTAAGAAAGAAAGAGGAGTCCTGCAACTGGTCACCATAGCTCAGACAGGAAACTCCAGTCCACCGCTCCCAGGTAGGACGCCTTTCCTCACCTGCTGCTTCAACAGATTTTATTTAGTAAGCATAGTCTTTCTTCTCTGGATCCTGATATCAATGGCCGAGGTTTCTCAGAGGGTGGTCCAGAGTCCCCCTGTGCCAGAAGCCCTGAGAAATTTGTTAGAAATAGATATTTTCAAGGTACTGCCTCTGGAACAGGAACCGCTCTGATCTGGGCCCTGAACTTATCTTTTGAACCACCTTTTTAGGAGTTTCTCATATACATAAAAGTGTAAGCGCTGCAGTCGTTACATAGTTACTCAGAACCCTGCCTCTCAGGACTTTTGGAGCTGAACTCTCAAACTTAGTGTGCATACAGATCTTCTAGGAATGCTTTTAACAGCCTAATTCTGGTCCAGTCGATTGCAGGAAGAGGGGAGTGAATTTCTTCAGGTGGTGTAGACATCGCTGGTTCGTAGGCCATGCTAAGAGGTGCAGAGTGGCAGAATGTCCCGCCTAGATTTCTTCTCCTTTTCTACCATCTCTTTTGCTCTTGAATTATCGCCAGGCTCTTTCTTCCTTTCCAGATTTACTGCACCTGAAAACAACCTTCTATTTATTTACTGTCTACAAATTTTGTACCTTGGCTGTGAGGGCATGGCCAAGCCTTTTCTTTTCATACACCCGTTGTTGAGAAATAGTACTTAAAAAAAAAGTTTCTTTGGTGGTTGGAATAGTTCACTGAAATTCTACGTGGGTTATGAGGTCAGGATAGTCATATATAAACTAGAGGGACTGATGATGACAACATTTGTGAAAAATCAACCTTTTCCTACAGTATAATGCACACAGTCCTGAGGCCCTGTTACTACTGTCTTCGACGCACTATTAACAAGCATGATGAAACCAACCAGGCTGCTGTCTCTGCAGTCGTCACAGACTGACTCCGGAGGCGTCTTAGTCAGAATGAATGTCCTTATTTAGAAGTTCAGGAACCCGAGCTTTCTGGTCTCCTGTGCAGACACGCCCTGGAAGCCTGTCTTGCTGGAGCTTCTGCAGGGAAAGCGCTGTGTGCAACTGCCTGCCAAGGCTTCAGCTCCCTGGCACCAGGCAATGGCAGAAGCCACTCCAGCTGAAAGGTGTCTTTTGCACTCCAGGTGAGAATGGCTGCTTTGGACAATGACAGTCAGTGCCTAATGCCATTATCTCCATGCTATCACACTTTCCAAGCACTGATTCCCGGTCCTTTGCAGGACCTCCACTTCGTATTTTTGCAGTGCCTTTCTTAACCTGTATCCATTCATCTGGACTCATTCTTGACACTGCCATTCAGACAGTTACTCTATCTCTGCGG